GTAGTAGTTACTACAGCGGAGGGGTGGCCAGCAACCGAGACGAGACTCGGAGCCGACGCACCCCCGACAGAAACCCCCACACCAGAGCCTAAGCTAAGGTTGGGAGCACTGCCCGCCATAGACCCGGAACACACACCCGTACCTGGCCGGACGCCAATCTCCCGACGGAGGCCAGCCATCGCGTCGGCCACTAGAGTGTGGACCGAATCCATCTGCTTCTGCAATATATCAGAAAGTAAATCAATTGTTAGCTGGTTAGAAACAGGGACAGGAGGGGGGGAAGGTGCCTGTGATGTTGAGGGGATGGCAGGTGAAGGAGCCGGAGGCCCCGCACCCTTCGCCCGTTTAGGAGCAGCATCCCCCAAAAGAGAGGAAGCCGAAGCCTTCTTTTTCTTTGCTTTTTTATCTTTGTCTTTAGGAGGCTCCTGACCCCAAATGTCCCCCCCCGCCTGAAGTAAGGACGTGTAGAACATGTAATCAGCACGTCTGGACTTGATGGTGCGGGGGGAGAAAGCCTGACACATAGAACAACCTTGTTGCGTCATGGGCTTCCTCCGGCTAAACAACGTAAGCAAACCAGGTGGCGATCCTGAGGCGACAAACTGCCGCTACAGGTGACACACCCCTTGGGCTGCAAAAAACAGAACCACGCTATGACAATAGCAAGGACTGTACGATATATATAATATAATATGCACACAACAAAACAGAACAAAATACAACGCCGGGCGATATTTTAACTGTTACAGCAAAGCTATTAAATACTAGCACCAAGCCATAATAGCGAAGGGTAATTGCGTACATAGGTGACAAAGAGCAACATGTGTGAGCGACACGTAAACGCGTCACGAAAACACTCAAGCAAAACTTACCTAAAGCCTGGAAAAAAGAGGAATTTAGGCAAGCATAATCTACAAAATGAAATATCAGCCCCTTTACGACCCGACTATAAGGCTTTTTCTAAAGCCAGGAGAAGGAAAGCAAACGGGACCCCGCGGTCCGCCATCTTGCCTGCCACGTGGCTGGAGACAGCTTAACAGCGCCCGGTAAGTTACAACAAATCATGAATGAAAAAGTCATACAAAGATTCCAGCTAGCCCGAAAAAAAGTAGGAACCATACATACAGGATTTGACTCTATCTCACTCATCGGCTCTCTTATTAAGTAGCTTCTTGGACCATGCAATCGACCTACACAGCCGACGACAGCATGAAAAGTGAGGTACGAGGTACACAGCCAGAGTTACCTGCTCTTGGCTGTAGGGGGCCCTCTACGGGGCCCTGTAAGGGTGGTCTCACCACACATAACGAGTTTTTTGTTTGGTAAAATATTTTATTGAAATATTGTTACAACTGTCGTAGGCTTTTAAAATGGACATTTTAATGCTTATATGTACCCCAAGGAGGACTTCTTCTGAAAAAGAATGCAGATCTTGTTTCAACTCCAGTTCCGACTTGAGGAGATTTACTAGCCATCCTAGTTGAGTGAGCAGCCTGATGGTGAAGTCTAGTTGCAGTCTGAGTTGACTGGGATCTTGATGAGCTTGAATCCCGTCGTCCAGGTAGAAAGCACTGCGTAGACCTCGACGATGTAGATATGTGACGATGGGCATGGTCACTCGAGTAAACAACCAGGGAGCCGACGATATTCCGAACGGTAGAACCTTCCACTGGAAGTGATGTCCGTTGAAAAGGAATCTTAGGTATTTCCTTGAGTCTGGATGTATCGGAATGTGGAGGTACGCATCTTGTAAATCTATGCTGGTGAGGTAGTCTGCTGGACGAACGAGATGTCGGAGCTGAGGAAGATGTATCATCTTGAATTTTGCTGGTCTGCGTAGATACTCCCGGTTGAACTTCCTCATGTTGTAGAAGAGCCGAAATTTCTCCTTGGAATTCTTCTTCGGTATCAGGAAAATTGGGGAGTAGAACCCGGGCGTGATGAGATCTTGATCTATCTCTTCTACTGCCTATTTGTCGAGTAGGGTCTTGATAGCGTCGTCCAGTTTCTCTATCTGGTCGGCTGCATAGCTGAAGGCCATCGGGTTGCTTGTGAGCGGCGGCTTGGCTTCCAACTGTATCTTGTACTAAAAGCGGCGTAAAACTAAACTCAGTCAGTCAGTATCTTGTACCCTCTGCAAAGTATCTGGGACACGTAGTCGTCTTGTAGGATTTGCCAATTTTCCCAGTATCGTTGAAGACGTCCACCCACTGTCGAAGGTTGTACAGGAACGGCTGGGGATGGAAGACTCCAGTCGTTCCTAACCTGGCCTTCAGCTCTTGATTCCTCTTGCAACCCTAGGTGCTCGGCCTCTTCTGGGGATACCTCTAGGAGCTCCGGTTGGGCGACGAAAGGAGCCTCTTCCTCCTTTCATGCTGGAATACTTCTTTTCTCTGGCTCTCTGTACTCCTGCAAACTTGGATTTGTTGGAGTAGCGTTGGGATGTCTGACGAATCGCATTAGCCAAGGTGTCGATGGATTTAATCATCATAACCTCCCTTGAGTCGTGAGAGACTTCTCTGGCGACTTCTTCAATTTCTCCTCCGAAGATGTAAGATGCTGACCATGGGGCTCTGTATAAGGACTTGGTGAAGCGTTCACTCCAAGTGCATGCTGACAATAACCCTTGTCTTTTCAGGAGAGTCAGGCCATGTGGATGCAAGGTGCTCTGACATAAACTGCATTAGTAGAGCGGAGTATATCATCCGGTCTTCTTTGGCAGAGGAGTTCTTGAACTTCGAGATGAGTGTTTAGTTGATAGCCCTCGATCTGGCTAATCCGAAGAAGGTACGTCTTGTGGTTGTATCCAGCTGCGCTAACTTCTTATCCTCAATCTTGTAAGTTCTCTGACGGGAGTCGGTGATAATCTTGTAGTCATCATCAACCTCTGGAGCCTTCAGGAAGGGTTCTATCCTTTGTAGAGGGAGTTTCCTGGCGTTGAACGTCGGGATGTGCTGATTCTGAGACTTGGTGGCTTTATCAAAATCTGCGCTGATGTTGTCTGGTACTTGAGAGATTGGGTCGATCGGTGGAAAGGTGAGCTTGTCGAAATCATCGTTGGACATCTTGTAGGTAAACGCCTCAACTGTGTCCTTACAAGGTGATGTTAAGTCCAAGCCATTGGCGATCCAGGAGTTAACTTCCGTATCGGAGAATATGCCTTCACCTTCATCCTCTGATTTGGACATCTCTCGCTCTATGGATCCACGACGACTTGAGTCTCTAGGGGATGATCTGTATGATGAGCTTCGCGCAGGCGAGCGATCCCGATGCGATCGTGTACCCTTTCTGGAGTCTTGAGAGGATTCTCTAGGTCTTCATTAAGGTGGGTTTCTGGATGTAGCTTCCCCTCTGTAGGAATGGGCGTCAGAGTCCAATGGAGATGAATACTCATATCTGCGACGTCTGTGGGGTTCAGGAGAACGCCATGATTTCTTCCTGCTTGGAGACTTCTTAGCAGCAATCTCTGGAGCATCTACGGCTGAACTGACGTTGGTAGCAGTGTCCAGACTTCAGATGGGGAAGATCGTTGTGTCAGTGAGCCTTCGCGCAGGCTTCCCTCTTCATCCGGATGCGGTGGAGAGACTGTAGAACCTTCACGCAGGCTAGTAGTCGTTGTAGAGGTCTTCGTAGCAGCCTTCTCCTGAGCGGAGCGACGTTCCATCATCGACATTATCTGGTCTGTAAACTGTTGCATGAACAGTCCCGGGTTGAAGTTCTGCGTTGTCTGAAGAGACTGCTGCATGGATGATGCATCTGATACTGAAGAGACGTCATCTAAGGCTTGCTGCACTTGTGAAGAGTTGACGCTGCTGCTATCTCTGGTACCCGATGTCTGCATTGATAGAAGGTCTTCTGTCAATGAATGCGCTGATACCAATGCCGATGTAGCTGTAGAAGCAGGCTTTGTCTTCTTACTGACGATGGAGACTTCAGGTATGAGGATGGGTGGATCATCATAAACGTCTGCTTCTTCCCGAGGAACAATTTCGGCTTAGAAAGACCTCGTCTTCTGCGTAGAGCTGAGCATAGACTTCGCTGAAGTCTTCATGGTAGTAGTCTTCAATCATCTGTGACGAGGTCAGCTCAGTAGACGATGAATGTCTGCAGCAGTGGTTAACACACAGTTATCAGCACAATCACTCGATTTAGACATGAATACCTTTGTACCCAGTCCTTAGCACGTCTATGGATGGAAAAAAGGTAATTAGTAAATTCACCAGAGGTAAAATTTACACAAAACACACAAAAGAACATGAAATAGTGTAATTAGCACATAATAAATGAGGGTCAGCCGCAGACACTCGGTACCTACAACGAATACAGGTTTTCATCAAATGTAAACACAATGAAAACACATGTCAAACAACGGAAAATTAGATCAAATTTCAAACCGTAATGTAGAATATATTCCTAAAAAACGTATACAGCAATAATTTTGATGCAAGGTCCGAAAATATAAAAGGATATGTGCCGTATAGGGACCAAGGTTCTCTCACAACCGTCCTCAAGGGCGAAGAAGTAGAGAGTGACAAACATGGCTGGTTATGTGAGGTGAGGTGAGGTGAAATTGGGTTTATCGTCGTGCTTGAGAATATTTCTCTCATATGACGACGTGCATGCGTGTGTATGTGTATGTGCGGCTGCTTGTACTAGCCCAGACTGAACTGGTTTTATAGTGCTAGCCTACTGAGATACCATGCAGCAGTGAAGCATGAATACCCCACTCAGACACATTATACTGACTCCGTCTGGTTATGTGTCCAAAAAGGGCTCTAAAAGGGAGGAAAAGGAGACTACTCGATGATGAGTGATTTTACGTCCGCTTTTTTAGAAGGGAACTTCAAGGGATTTCAAGTATTCCACTATCATTCGCAAGAGGAAGGAGACAAGCATACTTAGCATGAGTAGGGATAAGGAAAAATAAAGATTCTCTAAAAAATTGTAACAAAAATCTTGTACAAGGAATCAAAACAAAAGAGGAGTTTGAATGAATCTACCTTTGCTGTCCCAATGGCACTGAGAGCCAGGAAGCTGAGGTGCTGAATCACGTGGTTCATGGACTCGGCAATCAGCATCGTGCGGCGATGGAATGTATGCTCTATAGCCTGACAGTGAAATCAGAAAACTTTACTGAAATGATTACTACAAGTTTAGTAAAAACACTGACAAGGAATTGGCAGGAATGAAACTGTGTCACTTACAATACATCTTGTTTATTCCGCACAGCCTTCTTGTTTTTGTTGTAAAACTGACATCATTCCTACTTATCATTAAGCACAAAACATTCCTATTTGTACTCTAGCCAAAAACATTGAAAATGCATTCAAAATTTTGACACCTGTGAAAATTCGGGTTAGAATTGGTCTTCAGCAACCCATGCGTAAGAGGCGATGAACGGGATCTGGTGGTCAGGATCGCTGACCTGGTTGACACATGTCATTGTATCCTATTTGCGTATATCGATGCTCATGCTGTTGATACTAGATTGTTTGGTCCACACTCAATCATTTACAGACTGCTGCCACATAGCCGGAATATTGCTGTGAATGCCGTTTGATGAAAAACACACACACGAAATGTTTTAGATCTGGTACTGATAACGGCAAACAACTAATTGGCGATCGGATGGCAATACCTTTAGAAGCTCTACAAGTCGGCAAAGGGAGAGCACTGCAGTCTTGGTCATGGGTTTCTGTAGAGATACGTGCAGGTTCATGACGGTCCTCACGAGATGACTCAAGTTGTAGGCGTACAGCAGGCCCTGTTAACATACTTCACAGCTGAAGAAACAAGTAGTCAAGGGTAGGCTAGGGAAACGTGAGACACTATGTCTCTGTGAAACATGTGACTATATACCTGAGACATGTGACAACATACCTGAGACATGTGACAACATACCTGTAGCAACATACCTGTGACACGTGACAACGTACCTGTGACACGTGACAATGTACCTGTGACACGTGACAACATATCTGTGACACGTGATAACATACCTGACACGTGACAACCTACCCGTGACACATGACAACACACCTGTGACACATGACAATGTACCTGTGACAACATACCTGTGACATGTGACAACGTACCTGTGGCAACCTACCTGTGACACGTGACAACGTACCTGCAGTGTTGCATCTAGGATTTGACCATAGTGGGTCAAAGTGGCCCACTGTTTTAAAATCAGTGGGCCACTCATGTATTGACAGTGGGCCACTGTTTTGTGAGTCACTCCTCACTGTTACGATCTTATAAAGACAATAAACAATATCATATCTTTTGAAATGTCTTCTTATTAACTTCAATGATGTACAGCAATACTTGGACTAGATGAGACATCTCACCTATAACTCAGCTGTCTAAGCTTTGAAGATTCTCCTGTCCACTTTCTTCTTCCACTTCTCCAAAGCTCGCACATAGTCAAACTCATCTACCTCCTTGCCCTCTAGTTTTATCAACATCAGTGTGTTCAGCCTCTCAGCACACAGTCTGTTTCTTGCAGGGTTGTGGATGTTGTTCTGGCAGCTGAAGCCACGTTCACAATCAGCTGTTTGCAAGGGCATTACAAGAGCAAGCCTAGCTAGGGTCAGGAGGTTGGGAAACATGGACTTGTGATGTGCACATATCTCAGTCCAAAGTTTACTGAAATTGTCCCTTGCATACCTTTCCTTCAGAACAACTCTCTTCAAAATGTCCCACTCACACAGAGTTCCAATTTTGTCAATTTTGGCCTTGCTAACATATTCTCCATTCCGTGTCCGATCAGAACCATAAAAGTTAGTCAGAATTTCCATTTCCTCCTTTCCATAGTTGACAAGATCCTCATCAGACAGCATGCTTATACTCCTTAGTCCCATGACACTAAAAGCAGTAGAGACACTGACTGATTCTTTAGGAAACCTCTTTTCAACTCTGTCTTGAAGAGCATTCAAAAATTTGTCCCTGATTTCCTCTGATTTCTTTGCTTGGTAATTATGTAACTTCTCTCCCCAGTACTTAGCTATCACATTGTCATTTTCTTTTTAAGAATCATTTTATCTTTGAGCAGTAGCTGATAGTGGCTTTTGCCACTGAGTGCACATTTCAAACAAGACAGACATCCCTCAACTGCAGGCTGCACACATGAAACATCAAGATCTACTTTTTGGAATACCAAACTCAATTCAGTAAACCTGGGGATCACATCCATCATCACATGGAGCATGAAAATGAACTTGTAATCTGTGAGGTTGGCTAGTTGTTCCTCTTCCTTTGAGCTCTTCTTGTCAATCTTTTTGAAATATCTCACTAGAGACCTCCATGTCTTGTACACAGTGAAAAGTGCATTGTACATAGCAAACCACCTGATCTCGTGGACTTCCTTTACTTTTATTTGGGGGTCATCCAATAATTTCTGTACCTCGGCAAGTTCTGCAACTCTGCATGCTTATTTCTTAAAATAATAAAATAAGTCTGTAAGAGTTTTCTGAAACACTTTCCCAACATACTCCACTTCGTCAGCTGCCTTTGATGTCCACAAGTTTAGTCTGTGTGCCACACAATGAATACTTACAACATGGGGACTATCATCCTGCAGGAGTTTGGCCACTCCAGATTTCCTACCAGTCATCACTGACGCTCCGTCTGTGCCAAGTGCAATGATGTCACTCATTTCAAATGACTTGTGCAGTTGCTATCAATCCTGCAGGAGATAACAAGCTTTTTGTCACATTAATGTCTGTACTCTCATCTGTCAAAACAGATTTAAACACTGATGACCTAAGTTTCATGTCAATATCTTCTGTGATTACATCCACAAATGCATCCTGAAATTCATCAGCAGTTTCCCTTGAAGTATATGTTGCATTTTTACCAACACCTAATGACAAAATATCTTCACATCCTTGAAGTTTATCACTGGAACTTGCAACACCTTCCCTACACAGCCAATATGCACAACATTATGGCAACGATATTTGCTGATTTTCGGAAATTGCCGCTTCTGTCGCTGTAATAAAGTCATTTCGTTGAAGTTCTTTTCGAAGTCTTATGGTCAAGTAATTTCATGTCTAGTCAAAGTCGACGATCTATAATTCTTGCAAGATGTCGTCAGTACTGGAAACATTTGAATTAACTTCACTACACCTTTTGTGAAGAAAGTCTCAATTCGTTTTTCTTCTTATTTGACGACATGTCTTTATCAGCAATATAATATGTCAACTTTACCGAACTTGACCGCTGCATGTTTTCAAACACCATTCTTCCATAGATAACAAGTTGCTCGTGAACCCTTTAGTTCAATGTTTCCAAGAAAAATAGTTTCTTGTTGCATGTTTTCAAACACCATTCTTCCATAGATAACAAGCTTTTTGTCACATTAATGTCTGTACTCTCATCTGTCAAAACAGATTTAAACACTGATGACCTAAGTTTCATGTCAATATCTTCTGTGATTACATCCACAAATGCATCCTGAAATTCATCAGCAGTTTCCCTTTGAAGTATATGTTGCATTTTACCAACACCTAATGACAAAATATCTTCACATCCTTGAAGTTTACACAATGATACAAGAGAAGGGTACTTGAACTTGCAACACCTTCCTTACACAGCCAATATGCACAACGCATTGCGGCAACGATACTTGCTGATTTTCGAGAATTGCCGTTTCTGTCGCTGTAATAAAGTCATTTCGTTGAAGAAGTTTCTTTCGAAGTCTTATGGTCAAGTAATTTCTCATGTCTAGTCAAAGTCGACGATCTATAATTCTTGCAAGATGTCGTCAGTGTATTACTTAAAGTTACAGCTTTACAAAGTTTGCAACTCATTATTCCACTTGCCTCATCATACTCAAGCCAATCATATTTCTTTAGCCACTTGTTCCGAAATTTGTGCACAAATTTTCGTTTTCCGTCTGTGGAAGATTTTCTTCGCAACTGTCACTTTCGTCCAGAATTAACATTGAGTTCATCACTATCATGCACGTGGTCGCCATTATCGGGAATTTCTGCACTGGAAACATTTGAATTAACTTCACTAGCACCTGCCGTTTTGTGAAGAAAGTCTGTGATTCGTCTTTTCTTCTTATTTGACGACATGTCTTTATCAACGTGATAATATGACTCAACTTTACCGAACTTGACCGCTGCCGTTACTTTGCTCGCCGATCTGGCCTCATTCACCATTTCCAAGCAAATTACGAGGTACGACGGAAATAGGCGAACAATTACGATCAATTCTGTATGGGATCTAGTAACAAACCTGTCTTTCCGAGTTCCTAACATATACCGAAATGATTCCGAATGCTAAACATTACATTTGACCAATGAAAAAATCACTTGGAAATCACTGCGATATCCAGACGTGTCCGGGCATGTTCTTGGAAAAGTGCTATTTATAGCTTGGTATTTCCAATATAGGGAGCAATGGCAAGTAACAGTTTTTAATTCATGTAGTTTCGCTACGCGTTAGCAACGAATATATGCGTGAAAATAATAACTCGCGCGTACTATGTAGCGCACACATGAAATATCACTGCGTCATTTTTCTATTTTACTGTGTAATTACGCAAAAACGCACTCTAGTACCTGTGACATGTGATAACGTACCTGACACGTGACAACCTACCTGTGACACATGACAACACACCTGTGACACATGACAATGTACCTGTGACAACATACCTGTGACATGTGACAACGTATACCTGTGACAACATACCTTGTGACATGTGACAATGTACCAGTGTCATGTGACAATGTACCTGTGACATGTGACAACATACCTGTGTCAAGTGACAATGTATCTGTGTCCTGTGACAATGTACCTGTGACATGTGACAACATACCTGTGACATGTGACAACATAATTTGACATGTGACAATGTATCTGTGTACCTGTGACTTTTGACAACGTACCTGAATGAAGAGAACGGCTCTGTTGTTCAGGTCCTCCATCAGAGTGGCCCCACGGGACAGGTTAGACTCCATCTTGACCATCCACGCCGACACCTGCGTGCTGTACGTCTGGATGTCCCTGCACACAAACAGCTCACCTCAAACACTCACTAAGTATATGTTGTTCAGTGTGACAGTCAGCAATATCACAGCTATATCATGAGGACTGTACACAGCAATCTGGCAATACTGTCTCCTCTATCACTGATCAGTGTCACAGTCAGCAATATCACAGCTATATCATGAGGACTGTACACAGCAATCTGGCAATACTGTCTCCTCTATCACTGATCAGTGTCACAGTCAGCAATATCACAGCTATATCATGAGGACTGTACACAGCAATCTGGCAATACTGTCTCTTCTATCACTGATCAGTGTCACAGTCAGCAATATCACAGCTATATCATGAGGACTGTACACAGCAATCTGGCAATCCTGTCTCTTCTATCACTGATCAGTGTCACAGTCAGCAACATCACAGCTATATCATGAGGACTGTACACAGCAATCTGGCAATACTGTCTCTTCTATCACTGATCAGTGTCACAGTCAGCAACATCACAGCTATATCATGAGGACTGTACACAGCAATCTGGCAATCCTGTCTCTTCTATCACTGATCAGTGTCACAGTCAGCAATATCACAGCTATATCATGAGGACTGTACACAGCAATCTGGCAATACTGTCTCTTCTATCACTGATCAGTGTCACAGTCAGCAATATCACAGCTATATCATGGGGACTGTACACAGCAATCTGGCAATACTGTCTCTTCTATCACTGATCAGTGTCACAGTCAGCAATATCACAGCTATATCATGAGGACTGTACACAGCAATCTGGCAATACTGTCTCTTCTATCACTGATCAGTGTCACAGTCAGCAATATCACAGCTATATCATGAGGACTGTACACAGCAATCTGGCAATACTGTCTCTTCTATCACTGATCAGTGTCACAGTCAGCAATATCACAGCTATATCATGGGGACTGTACACAGCAATCTGGCAATCCTGTCTCCTCTATCACTGATCAGTGTCACAGTCAGCAACATCACAGCTATATCATGAGGACTGTACACAGCAATCTGGCAATACTGTCTCCTCTATCACTGATCAGTGTCACAGTCAGCAATATCACAGCTATATCATGAGGACTGTACACAGCAATCTGGCAATACTGTCTCTTCTATCACTGATCAGTGTCACAGTCAGCAATATCACAGCTATATCATGAGGACTGTACACAGCAATCTGGCAATACTGTCTCCTCTATCACTGATCAGTGTCACAGTCAGCAACATCACAGCTATCTCATGAGGACTGTACACAGCAATCTGGCAATACTGTCTCCTCTATCACTGATCAGTGTCACAGTCAGCAACATCACAGCTATATCATGAGGACTGTACACAGCAATCTGGCAATACTGTCTCCTCTATCACTGATCAGTGTCACAGTCAGCAATATCACAGCTATATCATGGGGACTGTACACAGCAATCTGGCAATCCTGTCTCCTCTATCACTGATCAGTGTCACAGTCAGCAACATCACAGCTATATCATGAGGACTGTACACAGCAATCTGGCAATACTGTCTCCTCTATCACTGATCAGTGTCACAGTCAGCAATATCACAGCTATATCATGAGGACTGTACACAGCAATCTGGCAATCTGGCAATCCTGTCTCCTCTATCACTGATCAGTGTCACAGTCAGCAACATCATCAGCTATATCATGAGGACTGTACACAGCAATCTGGCAATACTGTCTCCTCTATCACTGATCAGTGTCACAGTCAGCAATATCACAGCTATATCATGAGGACTGTACACAGCAATCTGGCAATACTGTCTCCTCTATCACTGATCAGTGTCACAGTCAGCAACATCACAGCTATATCATGAGGACTGTACACAGCAATCTGGCAATACTGTCTCCTCTATCACTGATCAGTGTCACAGTCAGCAATATCACAGCTATATCATGATCAGTAGGCTATATCATTGGGACTGTACACAGCAATCTGGCAATCCTGTCTCCTCTATCACTGATCAGTGTCACAGTCAGCAATATCACAGCTATATCATGAGGACTGTACACAGCAATCTGGCAATACTGTCTCTTCTATCACTGATCAGTGTCACAGTCAGCAATATCACAGCTATCTCATGAGGACTGTACACAGCTGTCTCTTCATCTGGCAATACTGTCTCCTCTATCACTGATCAGTGTCACAGTCAGCAACATCACAGCTATATCATGAGGACTGTACACAGCAATTACACAGCAATCTGGCAATACTGTCTCCTTCTATCACTGATCAGTGTCACAGTCAGCAATATCACAGCTATATCATGAGGACTGTACACAGCAATCTGGCAATCCTGTCTCCTCTATCACTGATCAGTGTCACAGTCAGCAATATCACAGCTATATCATGAGGACTGTACACAGCAATCTGGCAATACTGTCTCTTCTATCACTGATCAGTGTCACAGTCAGCAATATCACAGCTATATCATGATAAAGCTGTGATGTTGCTGTACTGTGCAATCTGGCAATCCTGTCTCCTCTATCACTGATCAGTGTCACAGTCAGCAATATCACAGCTATATCATGAGGACTGTACACAGCAATCTGGCAATACTGTCTCCTCTATCACTGATCAGTGTCACAGTCAGCAATATCACAGCTATCTCATGAAGACTGTACACAGCAATCTGGCAATACTGTCTCCTCTATCACTGATCAGTGTCACAGTCAGCAACATCACAGCTATATCATGAAGACTGTACACAGCAATCTGGCAATCCTGTCTCTTCTATCACTGATCAGTGTCACAGTCAGCAATATCACAGCTATATCATGGGGACTGTACACAGCAATTTGGCAATACTGTCTCTTCTATCACTGATCAGTGTCACAGTCAGCAATATCTCAGCTATATCATGAGGACTGTACACAGCAATCTGGCAATCCTGTCTCTTCTATCACTGATCAGTGTCACAGTCAGCAATATCACAGCTATATCATGACGACTGTACACAGCAATCTGGCAATACTGTCTCTTCTATCACTGATCAGTGTCACAGTCAGCAATATCACAGCTATATCATGAGGACTGTACACAGCAATCTGGCAATACTGTCTCTTCTATCACTGATCAGTGTCACAGTCAGCAATATCACAGCTATCTCATGAGGACTGTACACAGCAATCTGGCAATACTGTCTCCTCTATCACTGATCAGTGTCACAGTCAGCAATATCACAGCTATATCATGGGGACTGTACACAGCAATCTGGCAATCCTGTCTCTTCTATCATTGATCAGTGTCACAGTCAGCAATATCACAGCTATATCATGAGGACTGTACACAGCAATCTGGCAATGCTGTCTCTTCTATCACTGATCAGTGTCACAGTCAGCAATATCACAGCTATATCATGACGACTGTACACAGCAATCTGGCAATACTGTCTCTTCTATCACTGATCAGAGTCACGGTCAGCAACATCACAGCTATCTCATGAGGACTGTACGCAGCAATCTGGCAATACTGTCTCCTCTATCACTGATCAGTGTCACAGTCAGCAACATATATCAACACGGCCGGTTAAAAGCCAAATCTGGGTACAAGTTGAGCAATGGCCACCATCAGGTACAATGGTACCCAACTGGCAAGATCAGGCATTTCGTAGATAACCAAGTACATATGACAGTAACAGACATTGGTAGGCCTATCTCTGAATTCCTAACACTGGACTATTCAGTACACATGCCATCTATCAAATCATTTTTAGCAGCTGAATGTTTATTTTCAATAATAATTAAATAAACAGTTCATTCAGAATATCAACACAAGACGAAAAGGTTAGTTTAGAAATTTTAACAGCTTGGAACATGCGACACGTACGATTAATCACAACAACAAACAGGCTGAAGAAACATACTGTGCTAAACATGTAAATCCACCATTAATTGATTGATACAGTCACCAACATTATCATCAAATTTCAATACTAAATATCATTGTTAACACCATTTTTATCACATGACAATTATGACATTTATCAAGCACTGGTCATTATTAGCCAACCATTGGCAAGATTTTATACAACATCCATATGTCTCAACAGTGATTCACATAATGTTTCAGTCAACATGACCATGAAAATCCAGGACATTTGATGTTCATTATCTACAGGCTACAAACTAAAAATTAAATTCAACTACTGATAAAGAACAGGAAAACTTGTGCAGTTAATAGATGACATGTTTCCAAAACTGTAGGACAAAATATATCCTGCTGTTGACCACTGGGAAACCAGTGACAGATGACTTGTGGGAGATGAGAGTCGATAGCGTTAACACAAGCAATGAACAACACAGAGCGGCGTTAGTCTGAGGTGTTACTGCAGCTGGACAGAAGCACTGATGACATAGAGAGAGAGAAGAGAAAGTACTGTATTCAGTTCCATGCTGCACTGACTACTACTGGCCTCATATCACTACATGGCAGTACAGTACAGTGTGAGAGAAATCCATATGACACTGGGCACTATTCATATCACAGATTATACTTTGACACCTTTCCTCTCTGTATGAACAGTGGTATCAACTATCTACAACATGATATTAGTACTACACCTGACCTGAATGTTTGTAGGTAGGAGTGAGCAATCAGATAATCAGACATCATGTGTACACTGACATAGCTTTTGGTTTAGAGTGATAAATTGTCGTAACATTGTGGATACTGAATAAATACTGTCATTCTGACACCAAATGCAAGGGCACAAGGACACCATGATGATGGCCAGTACACTAGGTACCAGTGTACCAGTACATCCGGTACCAGTACACCAGAATACAAGGTATGAGTACACCAGGTACCAATACAACGGGTGCCAGTACATCAGGTACCAGTACACCAATACATCTGGTACCAGTACACCAGGTACCATTACCCAGTACACTGGGTACCAGTACATCAGGTACCAGTACACCAGGTACCAATACACCGGGTACCAAATACATCGGGTACAGTACACCGGTACCAATACACCAGGTATCAGTACATTGGGTACCAATACACTGGGTACCAGTACATCAGGTACCAGTACACCAATAGCCTGGTACCAGTACACCAGGTACCATTACACAGTACACCAGGTACCAGTACATCAATTTCAAGTACGACAGGTACCAATACACCAGGTACCAAATACATCAGGTACAGTACACCGGGACCAATACACCGGGTATCAGTACATTGGGTACCAGTACATCAGGTACCAGTACACTGGGTACCAGTACACCAGGTACCAATACACCGGGTACAAGTACACAAATACACTGGGTACCAATACACCAGGTACCAATACACCAGGTACCAGTCCACCGGGTACCAATACACCGGTTACCAGTACACCAGGTACCAATACACCGGGTACCAGTACACCGGGTACCAGTTCACCAAGTACCAGTCCACCGGGTACCAATACACCGGGTACCAGTACACCAATATACTGGGTACCAATACACCAGGTACAGTACACCAGGTACCAATACACCAGGTAGCAGTACACCAGGTACCAGTACACTGGGTACCAATACACTGGGTACCAGTACACCAATATAATGGGTACCATTACACCAGGTACCAATACACCAGGTAGCAGTACACCAGGTACCAATACACCAGTACAAGTACACCAGTACACCAGGTACTGATTAACCAGGTACCAAGTGTACAAAGTGTGCCCTAGATTGATCTGGCATGACGTTCTGTAGAAGAGATCTTCACAAAGAGAGGTTTAATATGGCCACAAAACATCTTCATGCAGAGAAGGGTCATGTCATGTTAAATGATCTGATTGCTTATTGGAATGAGATCATGTAGATCTAACATTTACCTCTGTAGAGAACCCCATGGCATGGTATACTGACAAACAGAACCATATCACTGTTTATGTGAATCAGGAATTGAAACAAATGATGAAGAGATTCTGGTACAGCTAAGGGAGGCGACTCTGGGAACAGAGGATTGTGGAACCTAAGATCACTGCTGCCAGTGACCAGAAAGGCAATGATGAATAGACAAATAATCCGTGTTAGCTAACGACAACAAACTCACAAATCTGAAACAATGAATGAACTAGTACAACATAAAGACATCACAATAAATATATTAATATTTTTGTTGCTATGGTGACATGAGGAGTTAGTAGTAGTACATGAGAAGAGAACTGATGAGAGGGATGCTACTGACTTGAAACATGATGGAGACAAGGTTGTGAACTACCCCTAGTTTGTAAATTCCCCCTATTTTGACAGTTGCACTACAGAGCAATCCTCCTCACTGACGTACAGAGATGCATCAACCACCATTGTAAAGTAGTAACTCAAGTAGAAACTGACATATATAGCCATGGACATGCGTAAGTCTGTGTTTGCTGGTTCTCGTCCAGCTTACTGGGACACCACGCTGCAGTTCTACACGGAAACCCAACTCTAACATTCACAGCTGTCCAGTCCTTGTTCTAATCCCCGTGTTGAGGCAGGGAAACAACAAGTAACATGTTTTGACATCTCCAGACAGACGCTCCAACCCCTAGCTGTCCAGTCCTGTGTTGAGGCTGACCCTACTCTAACATTCACAGCTGTCCAGTCCTTGTTCTAATCCCCGTGTTGAGGCAGGGAAACAACAAGTAACATGTTTTGACATCTCCAGACAGACGCTCCAACCCCTAGAGGCGAGGTGAAAGTCTGGATCATGGAGCATCTGTGTTGAGGCAGGGTGACCCTACTCTAACATTCACAGCTGTCCAGTCCTTGTTCTAATCCCCGTGTTGAGGCAGGGAAACAACAAGTAACATGTTTTGACATCTCCAGACAGATGCTCCAACCCCTAGAGGCGAGGTGAAAGTCTGGATCATGGAGCATCTGTGTTGAGGCAGGGTGACCCTACTCTAACATTCACAGCTGTCCAGTCCTTGTTCTAATCCCCGTGTTGAGGCAGGGAAACAACAAGTAACATGTTTTGACATCTCCAGACAGATGCTCCAGCCCCTAGAGATGAAAGTCTGGATCATGGAGCATCTGTGTTGAGGCAGGGTGACCCTACTCTAACATTCACAGCTGTCCAGTCCTTGTTCTAATCCCCGTGTTGAGGCAGGGAAACAACAAGTAACATGTTTTGACATCTCCAGACAGATGCTCCAACCCCTAGAGGCGAGGTGAAAGTCTGGATCATGGAGCATGTGTTGAGGCAGGTTCTAATCCCCTGACACTCTAACATTCACAGATCCTTGTTCTAATCCAGGTTCTACAACAAGTAACATGTTTTGACATCTCCAGACAGATGCTCCAACCCCTAGAGGCGAGGTGAAAGTCTGGATCATGGAGCATCTGTGTTGAGGCAGGGTGACCCTACTCTAACATTCACAGCTGTCCAGTCCTTGTTCTAATCCCCGTGTTGAGGCAGGGAAACAACAAGTAACATGTTTTGACATCTCCAGACAGATGCTCCAACCCCTAGAGGCGAGGTGAAAGTCTGGATCATGGAGCATCTAGTGAATCAGTTGTTCACAACAGCATCTATTCAGCTACTCCGCTGCACCACAATAACTGACATATCATTTAAAACATGACCATGAAGATCCGGGTTAGAATTGATCTTCAGTAACCCATGATTGTAGTAAGAGGCGACTAACGGGATCAGGAGGTCTGACTCGCTGGCTTGGTTGACACATGTCATCGTATCACTACTTCGTAGATCAACACTCATGCTGTTGATCACTGGATTGTCTGGTCCAGATTCCATTATTTACAGACCGTCGGCACGAAGCGGGAATATTGCAGAGTGTGGCATAAAACAAAAATCACTCACTCATTCACTCACTCATTTAAATTATCTTTCTGTGATGTGACATTTATCATCATAATAAATGAATTCAGCCAGTATACAATTTCAAAAATCAATTTCTGAGAAGTAGTAAGTTAGAAATGTGTTTGGCTTGAAAAGTATGTGAAGCAAGGGATCCCCATGTCCTACAACTGTCATGAGGTTTATCATCTACTGGTAGACACCACTGGGACCAATGTTTTCCCGGCGTATAGAGAAACAGCAGCAAGGAAATACTGGCGGAACTCTCTTCCAGTGGACTGTGAGAGTCAGCAGCATCCCCCTCACTACGACACTAGGACAGAGATGATGAATGGGGTACCCACCTGTGTCTGCAGCAGGGCGGAAGAAGAGAGTGAACACAGTTACATGAGCCCAGAGATGATCATGATGATGGTGAAGTATCTACCTACACCCTGCCTGGGCAGCAGGCCATTCTAACATGTTATGACAAAGTAACTATAACATATGATAATGAATGTCGGATGGAATTCTAACATCAAGTAATAATAACTTTACACCAGAAAATTCAGACCAATAGCTCAAATGCCCAATGGTAAATCATCTAATACTTAAATAACTACAGCTCAAATACCTAATGGTATATCATCTAATACTTAAATAACTACAGCTGAAATACCTAATGCTCAGATAACTAAAGCTCAAATATCTGATGCTCAAATGCCTTCAGCTCTAATAATGAAGCTTAAATTGGGTGACAGCAATCTGTGTTTGGTTATACATATTGCCTTTTTGTCACTTTTGGACAGGTCCACCAATCTAACAGGAAAACATATTGGTCTGGCTTCTGCTGACTAATTGTCAATAACAGGAAACTTTGAGGAAAGTGAGTCAGATGGTTTTATGCCCCTGTTAACAATACCATCGTAACAGGCACATGGGAAACGACCTCCATACAATGTACCCATGTGGGTCTGGCAAGGGCTAACCGGCGTTTAAGTTCACAAAAATATTCTTTCTAAACCTAGCATAAGCAAAAGTCTCAACTTAGTCATGTGAAACTGTCACACCAACACATTAAAGTTGGGTCACAACAGTACCTACTTGGTGAGCATCTGTGTCCTGGCGGTCAGCCAAGCAGTCTGGGAGGGTCCGACGGCCGACTGGGCCTTGCGGTCCAACAGCTGCGCCAGGTTCGGCATCTTGGTTGTAAGGAAGTTGTTTGGAAACCACACCACGTTGCCGATCAGATGGATACAGGGCACCTGGCCAGACAGGAAGGGAAGTCAGTTACAGCTGACACAGATGGGTTTAGCTGTACACCATGTCTACAACTGCTGATTGTGTTACAGCTGACACAGATGGGTTTAACTGTACACCATGTCTACAACTGCTGATTGTGGGAGGAAAGGTCAAAGTGACACTGGATCAGGATAAAATATTATTTCTAACAATATACATCTATCACTGTCCAGAGAATATCTAAGGATGGCCCTAGACTATACTCTACCTTCTTGTAGATGTCCCAGAGGGCTTTGAACAGCTTCTTGTCCAACACACGGAATATCTGGAAGTGGAGCACATAGAGGCCACAGGCCCCCACAAATCTGTACCGCTGATCGATCTCATTGACCTCACCTGGACAACATAGAAAACATCAGTCAGACCGGCCTCACATTATAATGTTCAACATGGTTCCTTCCAGGGCCTTGCTTCATTCATGACGATTCGCATAACTTGTTTTAAGAAACAATGATGTAGCAAAAGAGTTTAAGTAAAACATGTAACTAATAGACTATGCAACATTTCATGCCATAACCCACAAAGGTGCAATTGCACCTACAGAAATAGCCATTATTATCATTATTATTATTATTAATTGACTTAAACAGTGTTCAAAGTGATAATAACTTAACATTTTGAACAATCAGTTAGTTACTACATGTTTTGATCTCACCAGTTGGCAACATGTGATTATGTTTGAAATGTGTTATGTTTGAAATGTGTTATGTTTGAAATGTGTTATGTTTGAAATGTGTTATGTTTGAGTGCGTGTTGTCCTACCCATCCTGCTCTCAAGCTCCATGACATAATCTCGGATGTTTACAGCGAACTCTTCGGCAAATGCGCTGTTCTTTGAGACACTGACCCTAGGGTCATCAAACACCTGCTCCACACAGTTCTACACAGAAAACACAACAATATGTCATACTTCACATAGACAGTCTGTTGATCAGTCACTGAAATACAGAAGCAGAAAATAAACGTGTGTTGTAAATTGTTTTCCTTTATCAAAAGCTGACATCAAAGACCCTTTAACTTCAAACTGTCCAGACAGATGATACTTTAGAAGTGAATTAGAACTTGTTACAAATACTACCTGGAAAATGAACCCATCTAGCAGCCTTCCTTCAAGCATCATCATGAGCTTTTCAAACGGTCGGAGTTTCTCATCAGTTGTGTTAAATTTGGTGGGATTGTGACGAACAGATTTCACCATTCTGAAACAACAGAGGTAATAATTGGATACAAAAACACAAACATTAGTCACTGAAACCAGTGAGTGTTAACTAAATACATAGGAACTCGTAATTTCATTTGAGCAGAAGAAAAGAGTAAAGAGTTTCAAGTAAAATTGATGAATGCTGCCGCTATTTGTGAGGGGAGTCATTAAATGCCATAAATGGAATCAGGAACGACTCGGCTAACGCCTCACCTCTTGTAGAGTGTCCAGTGGTCCTTGAGGCTGGCATGGTTGTCTATGATCTCGTCCAGGGTGATGAGCACGCCCAACATGTCGGCCAGGTGGGCAAACACAACCTACAGTACAAAACACAATCGATTGTTCTCTCACACACTTTGAGACCCACAGCCAACATACCATATGTACCATACAACACATTCTGACTAAGCCATCTTGAAATGTCAATTGTTGGGTTTCTATTCATGCACACCACCAAAGATTATTGCCCTGACATACATGAGTAGTATCAGAGTCCTTACAATAATTATGATCAGTGTCTTTTCCTGATGAAATTATGCAAAACGTTTTCTTTAACATGCAGATATCACAGGGGCTGGAAACCACAGATCCAAGACAAGATCAATTATTTCATGACCATTTACCTTGAATAAAGCTCACACTATTTCTAACTTGTGAATAATGTCAACAGTTGATAACAGCATTCTCATGAAACACCAGCTGTTCATGAAGACCTGTGACATTGACTGATGGCTGAGTAGACTTACAGGCTCCCAATAGTTAGTCAGCTACAGTAGTGTCACAACTTGTGACATTGACTGATGGCTGAGTAGACTGACAGGCTCCCAATAATTAGTCAGCTTCAGTAGTGTCTCAACTTGTGACATTGACTAAAGGCTGAGTAGACTGACAGGCTCCCAATAGTTAGTCAGCTTCAGTAGTGTCTCAACTTGTGACATTGACTAAAGGCTGAGTAGACTGACAGGCTCCCAATAGTTAGTCAGCTACAGTAGTGTCACAACTTGTGACATTGACTAAAGGCTGAGTAGACTGACAGGCTCCCAATAGTTAGTCAGCTTCAGTAGTGTCTCAACTTGTGACATTGACTGATGGCTGAGTAGACTGACAGGCTCCCAATAGTTAGTCAGCTACAGTAGTGTCTCAACTTGTGACATTGACTAAAGGCTGAGTAGACTGACAGGCTCCCAATAGTTAGTCAGCTACAGTAGTGTCTCAACTTGTGACATTGACTGATGGCTGAGTAGACTGACAGGCTCCCAATAGTTAGTCCGCTACAGTAGTGTCACAACTTGTGACATTGACTGATGGCTGAGTAGACTGACAGACTCCCAATAGTTAGTCAGCTTCAGTAGTGTCTCAACTTGTGACATTGACTAAAGGCTGAGTAGACTGACAGGCTCCCAATAATTAGTCAGCTACAGTAGTGTCTCAACTTGTGACATTGACTGATGGCTGAGTAGACTGACAGGCTCCCAATAATTAGTCAGCTACAGTAGTGTCTCAACTTGTGACATTGACTGATGGCTGAGTAGACTGACAGGCTCCCAATAGTTAGTCAGCTACAGTAGTGTCTCAACTTGTGACATTGACTAAAGGCTGAGTAGACTGACAGGCTCCCAATAGTTAGTCAGCTTCAGTAGTGTCACAACTTGTGACATTGACTAAAGGCTGAGTAGACTGACAGGCTCCCAATAGTTAGTCAGCTACAGTAGTGTCTCAACTTGTGACATTGACTGATGGCTGAGTAGACTGACAGGCTCCCAATAGTTAGTCAGCTACAGTAGTGTCACAACTTGTGACATTGACTGATGGCTGAGTAGACTGACAGGCTCCCAATAGTTAGTCAGCTTCAGTAGTGTCACAACTTGTGACATTGACTGATGGCTGAGTAGACTGACAGGCTCCCAATAGTTAGTCAGCTTCAGTAGTGTCTCAACTTGTGACATTGACTGATGGCTGAGTAGACTGACAGGCTCCCAATAGTTAGTCAGCTACAGTAGTGTCTCAACTTGTGACATTGACTGATGGCTGAGTAGACTGACAGGCTCCCAATAGTTAGTCAGCTACAGTAGTGTCTCAACTTGTGACATTGACTGATGGCTGAGTAGACTGACAGGCTCCCAATAGTTAGTCAGCTACAGTAGTGTCTCAACTTGTGACATTGACTGATGGCTGAGTAGACTGACAGGCTCCCAATAGTTAGTCAGCTACAGTAGTGTCACAACTTGTGACATTGACTGATGGCTGAGTAGACTGACAGGCTCCCAATAGTTAGTCAGCTACAGTAGTGTCACAACTTGTGACATTGACTGATGGCTGAGTAGACTGACAGGCTCCCAATAGTTAGTCAGCTTCAGTAGTGTCTCAACTTGTGACATTGACTGATGGCTGAGTAGACTGACAGGCTCCCAATAGTTAGTCAGCTTTAGTAGTGTCTCAACTTGTAGGGCAACATGTCATCTGTGAAGCACCAACTTTACACAAAGAAGTACTTGACCAACGGAATTGTTTCATAAAACCATCCATAAAATTGTCTTGAGGAGTGAGTGAGTGAGTGGTGAGTGAGTTTAGTTTTACGCCCACTCAGCAATATCCCAGCTATATGGCGTAAGGTCTGTAAATAATCGAGTCTTGACCAGACAATCCAGTGATCAACAGCATGAGCATCGATCTGCGCCAATTGGGAACCGATGACATGTGTCAACCAAGTCAGCTGAAACTGATCACCCGATCCGTTAATTAAGCCTTTACGACAAGCATAGTCGCCTTTTATGGCAAGCACATGGGTTGCTGAAGACCTATTCTACCCCGGATCTTCACGGGTCTGAGCAGAAAAAAAGAGTAAAGAGTTTCAAGTAAAATTGATGAATGCTGCCGCTATTTGTGAGGGGAGTCACTAAATGCCAGTGCAGTATGGAACCAAGAACGACTCGGCTAACGCCTCACCTCTTGTAGAGTGTCCAGTGGTCCTTGAGGCTGGCATGGTTGTCTATGATCTCGTCCAGGGTGATGAGCACGCCCAACATGTCGGCCAGGTGGGCAAACACAACCTACAGTACAAAACACAATCCATTGTTCTCTCACACACTTTGGGACCCACAGCCAACATACCATATGTACCATACAACACATTCTGACTAGACCATCTTGAAATGTCAATTGTTGGGTTTCTATTCATGCACACCACCAAAGATTATTGCCCTGACATACATGAGTAGTATCAATAATTATGATTAGTGTCTTTTCCTGATGAAATTATGCAAAACGTTTTCTTTAACATGCAGATATCGCAGGGGCTGGAAACCACAGATCCAAGACAAGATCAATTATTTCATGACCATTTACCTTGAATAAAGCTCACACTATTTCTAACTTGTGAATAATGTCAACAGTTGATAACAGCATTCTCATGAGACACCAACTGTTCCTGAAGACCTGTGACATTGACTGATGGCTGAGTAGACTAACAGGCTCCCAATAGTTAGTCAGCTTCAGTAGTGTCTCAACTTGTGACATTGACTGATGGCTGAGTAGACTGACAGGCTCCCAATATCCAAGATATTTTTATGGATTAAACTTCTTTTTAATTTCTCTCACGGCTGAGAGACCATTCCAGGTCCCTTCATCAGGGTGAACTGGCAGTTAGGTCTATGGCGTCGTCACTATGACGTCATAACTGAGTAGATGACGGCTCACAATAGTTAGTGACATCACAGTACACTAGGGAGATTGACTGTATAAGTGAGACTGACAGAAGAGTTAATTACATAATGATGAAAATTCATGCTAAATAATAGAGTTGAAAGTTGAATTGCTTTCCCAAAAGAATAGTAGTACTTCGTTTTCCTTTTATCGTAAGTTCATCAAAAGTTAATCAAGAGGTCCCACGCGTTACTTGGCAGGTCTCAACTTGTGACATTGACTGATTGATTAGCTGGTTTATGTCTCCTTATCTAGTCAGCTACAGTAGTTCTCTCCGGCGCCATTGCTGGGCTTTAAATGTCTCCTGATTACATGACTTGGATGAGTAGACTGACAGGCTCCCAATATTAGTCAGCTTCCTGTAGTGTTTTGTCCGGCGACATTGATCGATGGTTGAGTAGACTGACAGGCTCCCAATAGTTATTCAGCTACAGTGTCTCAACTTGTGACATTGACTGATGGCTGAGTAGACTGACAGGCTCCCAATAGTTAGTCAGCTTCAGTAGTGTCTCAACTTGTGACATTGACTGATGGCTGAGTAGACTGACAGGCTCCCAATAGTTAGTCAGCTTCAGTAGTGTCTCAACTTGTGACATTGACTGATGGCTGAGTAGACTGACAGGCTCCCAATAGTTAGTCAGCTTCAGTAGTGTCTCAACTTGTGACATTGACTGATGGCTGAGTAGACTGACAGGCTCCCAATAGTTAGTCAGCTTCAGTAGTGTCTCAACTTGTGACATTGACTGATGGCTGAGTAGATTGACAGGATCCCAATAGTTAGTCCGCTACAGTAGTGTCTCAACTTGTAGGGCAACATGTCAGCTGTGAAGCACCAACTTTACACAAAAAGCAATACATGGCTATACTAGACTGTGTGTTCAATAAATGTTACAGGAAGATGTTTGGACGAGTACGGCTATACTAGACTGTGTGTTGTTACAGGAAGATGTTTGGACGAGTACGGCTATACTAGACTGTGTCTTGTTACAGGAAGATGTTTGGAAGAGGGCTATACTGGACTGTGTTGTTACAGGAAGATGTTTGGACGAGTACGGCTATACTAGACTGTGTTGTTACAGGAAGATGTTTGGACGAGTACTGCTATACTAGACTGTGTTGTTACAGGAAGATGTTTGGACGAGTACGGCTATACTAGACTGTGTGTTGTTACAGGAAGATGTTTGGACGAGTACGGCTATACTAGACTGTTGTTACAGGAAGATGTTTGGACGAGTACGGCTATACTAGACTGTGTTGTTACAGGAAGATGTTTGGACGAGTACGGCTATACTAGACTGTGTTGTTACAGGAAGATGTTTGGACGAGTACGGCTATACTAGACTGTGTTGTTACAGGAAGATGTTTGGACGAGTACGGCTATACTAGACTGTGTTGTTACAGGAAGATGTTTGGACGAGTACGGCTATACTAGACTGTGTTGTTACAGGAAGATGTTTGGACGAGTACGGCTATACTAGACTGGAAGATGTTTGTTGTATACAGGAAGATGTTTGGACGAGTACGGCTATACTAGACTGTGTTGTTACAGGAAGATGTTTGGACGAGTACGATAGCTCACACATCCATCTACCATAGATAGAGGGTGTCATCACATCCTTCTACC